GTCGGCGAGATCGTGAAGCGTAGTGGAAAGCTTTCCGACTACATTCCCGACCCCTACCCCAACGAGCAGGCTGCTCGTGCTGCCAATCAGGGTGCTCTTCCTCCGGATTTGTCGCTCATCGTCAAGGGTCGCCACGGCGGCTGCGACTACATCTTCTCTCTGTTGACCGGATATCCTGAAGAGCCTCCTGCAGGTGCTGTTGTTTCGGAAGGATTGAACTTCAACCCATACTTCCCTGGAACCGGTGAGATCCATTTCTTTCCTCCGTTATCAGACACAGTATCACGACTGACATAGCAAAGGTATTGCTATGGCCCGTGTCCTGTACGACGGCATTGTCGAGTACGAAGACGGTACACCCGCCACCACTTCTCAGATGGCCAAAGACGTTACCGAGTTCCTCAACTGGGCCGCCGAACCCGAGATGGATCAGCGCAAGAAGATGGGCATGAAGGCCCTCGCTATCACCTCCGTCCTATTGGCCCTCTCTATTTGGGTTAAGCGATACAAGTGGGCCCCGATCAAGACAAGAAAACTCGTGTACAATCCTCCTAAGGCCTAAATACCCGCCCATACTCGCACTATGTTTGGAGAATAGGGGGGAGAAAGAAGGAGAAACGGAGGAATATTTCCGGTTGTGTTCGGCAGCGGCGGTCAGCAAGCGTATGCATGGAAATATTAGAACAAAAAACACTTGGTTTCGGTCGGAGTTGGCTTTGTGTTTTTTTAGGGACGACAAAAAGACGTGATTGTGTTGCAGTAGAGGATGGGGGTGGAGATAGGCTCTTTCAACTCTGTGTAGTACTAGGTGTGTTATACGGAATTGGTCCTTGTATTTTTTCCCTTTGTTTGCTGTGTTATTTGTTGTATGGTTGGTATTTCTCTACTACACATACACTCCCATACACTTCGAGAGCGTTAGAAGATCTAGTTTATATCTTGTCCTCCCCCGTTTTTTACTGGCTGAAATATCACCCTTTTTTTTTGTTCATGTGTTGTGGCTCTGATTATCTTCGAAACCTTGGTCCTTGTGCTTCAACAGGTCAAGGTTTGGCCTTGTATCCGTCCTAACCAAGTGACATCCCTCATTTAACCACAGCTGGTGATTGTTTGGAATATGGAGCACCGGATCTAGGAATATCACAGTACGGCGCAGTCTAAGTAGACATCACAATGTGCGGTTCCTCCTTTCGACCCAGCTTCCCAGCTCTCCCAAATCTTGCACTTTATACAACTGCCCTCCACAGTTAGCATCCTTGTAGTCATTGAGCCCGTAATCCAGCTTCACACTAATCCTTTCACAAACCCCATCCAGCTTATCCCCAATCACCACACCCACATCCGCCTTCAACAAACACATCAAATCGGTAGACGAATCCCCGACATACATCACCTGCCCCTCACCACCTCTCTTAGCCACCAGGTGTTCCATCATCTTCACCTTATGCACCGCAGTCCATATTCCGTCTTCGCCCCCAAGAACAGGTTCGCGACTAATGTCACCAGTCGTGATTCCGTCTGGGTCGCAGACAAGGTCATTACAATAGATCCCCACATCTGTATCGAACCTTTCACGCTCCTCGGGTGACACCGCATTCCGAAGTGAAGACTGTATCCACGCCCGGCTCCAGTTCACAGAAAGAATATCCACCGCGCCGCCAGAGTCGAGGATGGGACGACATAGGTCCCAGAATCCGGGGCGGAGTGGAACTGTGCTGGCTGCGTCTTGTGCGATGTTGGTGGTATGTAGACCTTTAAAGACGGCGGCGGCTTCAATGCGTTGGATGGAGGCGCGCTCGACGGGGAGGAGGGACGCGAGGTAGGATGCTTCGTCGGCGAGGGTAAGACGGGAGGATTTGGGATGTGAGAGCGCGTGTTGGTTGTAGTCGGATATGTAGGCGTCGACGAAGTGGGACCAGGGAGGGGATAATTGTGGGCGGAGGGTGTAGGCGGCTTTGGCGAGGAGACTGATGGTGTCGGTGGTTGTGAGAGTGTCGTCGAAGTCAAGGATCAGGTGGGAGATGCGCGACATGATTCGGCTGCTGTTCATCGATGAGTAGTGAGACCTGGGGAGGGGAGAGATGTGATTTGGTCATGCGTATCTGGCAGCCGCCTGCTGATATTTTGTTGAGGTATGGTGATGCAACCAACATCCTGCACAGCTCAACTCAGCTCCTTTCTCCGCCGTCGTATATTCTTCACCACCTGCCGCCGCCGCCACCACCACCACCACCATCTCCACCTATGCTACAACTACCCCGTCGCGCAATAAAAATTCCGCGCGGTTGTTCCTAGTATCATATCTTTACTCGACTCGGTCCAATGTAGGATCAACCTTCTCTTGTGCACAGGCCTCACCGTTTCTTCATTACTGACTCTACTCGTCTAGTTGGATATTAGCTATGCATATTTGCCACATTTCTATGCTTCTTCTTGCCGTCGCATCGGCGGGAGCATCGGTCCTTCCAAACCACCAGGCGCCACTTATAAAGCCGAACGCGCCAGGCGACAACATTACACAAAGGCAATTCGATGATTTCGAAGAGCTATCTCGGATAGTAGACATTGCATATTGCGTTGGAACCATGAACACAGGCATCGATCCTCCCTTCCAATGTCTATCCTACTGCAAAGACTTTCCCAGCTTTGAGCTTGTCGAGACCTGGAACACTGGCATGACACTTTCCGATTCCTGCGGCTTTGTAGCGCTCTCCCAGCCACCGGCAAAACCTCGCATCATTGTCGCATTCCGCGGAACATACTCCATTGTCAACGCGCTAGCCGACCTCTCTTTAGCACGCCAGGAATACCTTCCTTATCCTTCCGACGGCCACTCGATTGAGAAGGAGAAGTGTGAAGGATGTACTGTTCATGCTGGGTTTTTGGAGAGCTGGTCACAGACTGAGAAGATTATCTCGCCGATCGTTGAGGAGCTTGTAAAAGCGTATCCCGAGCACCGATTGACTTTGGTGGGGCATTCCCTGGGTGGTGCGGTCGCGGCGCTTGCGGGGTTGGATTTTAAGGGACGGGGATGGGATCCGGTGGTGACGACGTTTGGAGAGCCAAAGTCGGGGAATAGAGAGTTGGCGGGTTTCTTCAATAGGGTGGGTACTCACTACGTTAGTTTTGTGCGCAAGGCTCATAGCAGGATAGAGATTCTCGAGCGAACAGTACCGTCGTATAACACACATCAATGATCCGGTTCCGTTGGTTCCGTTTGCGAGTCTTGGATATCATCACCATGCTCACGAATACTTCATTTCTAAGCACGATCTGCCATATGCGAAAGAGGATGTGCGGCAGTGTGAAGGCAGCGAGGATCCGACTTGTGTCGCGGGGACTTCTTTTAATGTTTTACAGGCACTGACGGGGCATCGAGACTACTTCCATAGGCTTGGGCTGTGTCTGCCCGCGGACTGGGTACATCATCAATGGACGGGAGGGGAGTTGAGGTAGAGAGGGGGATGCTTGTAACAACAGTTTAAGGTGCGAAAGGACATTTTGGGATACTATACACAAGTGGGGCATAACACTTTGCATTTCTGGAGTTTTGGTTATGGAACATTTGATTTGTATGATCTTGAAGAGGCGTTGTGGTGATTGCAGCTATAGGAATATATTGTTAGATGAAAGTACCTAGGTACGTACGAGAGGTATAGATCCGAAAATATGGAGCCATTGAGCTTCGCTGGATCATACCCACGCACTCGACCCCATTTGTAGCCCTATCTAACCGACAATCCACCTGCATACACCCGCATCATCTCATCCGATCATCACCATACCTCCCCCTCCTCACCATGTTCACCCGCCTCCTAAACCTCCTCAAACCCCTCGTCATAATCCTCTCCTCCCTCACCTTTTGCATCCTCACCTTCCTCCGACTCCTCCTCACCCTCACCCCCGTAACCCCCCGCGACTTCAGCCGGCAATGGTTCGCATCCTTCTGGACCTTCTGGGGTCCCATCAGCGCCGCCAAAGACCGCCCGTTCACATCAGAAATAATGTCCCAAGCCCACGGCGTAGTAATTGATCTTGGGTATGTATTCCCCCCCCCAGTCCCGGGAGCGGGTTAACACTCCCCTACCTCAACGCGTCAAAGCTCCACCACGTCTACGGTATCGAACCATGTACCCACCTCCACCCACAGCTATCCCAGAGTATCGCCAAATCCGGGTTATCGGGGAAATACGAAATCCTTGCTATCGGTGCGGAGGAGTGTTCTGCAAAAATTAAGAAAGAATCGGTAGATACTATTATCTGCTGTAAAGTGTTATGCGGGGTTCCGGAGCCGGAAAGGGTTCTGAAGGAGCTGTATGGCCTGCTGAAACCAAGGGGAGAGATGCTGGTGTTTGAACATGTTTTGAATAGAGAGAGTAGGATTACGGCGATGTGGCAAGGTATGTGGAGCTCTGGGAGGGGAGAGGATGTAAGGCTAATGAGGTGGGGGAAACAGGTGTGCTGCAAATCGTGTGGCCGTATTTGTTTGCCGGGTGTAATGTGAATCGGAATACGGAGAAGATGTTGAGAGAGTGTGGGAAGTGGGAGAGTGTGGAGTTGGAGAGGCCGAAAGGGGAGATGAGGTGGGATGTTATCCCCCATGTTGTGGGGAAGTTGGTTAAGGCTGGAAAGTAGGGGTATGTTTCGGGACGGGGGCTTTGGTGATTGGATTCGGCAAGACTAGAGTAGTGTGGGCCGGGGAGGCCGGCTGTCACTGGTTCAGGTTCAGGTTCAAAAGATGGAGATATAATTTCTACATGGCCAGCATGCTCAAGATATATGCCGCTTTATTGAAGCTTTATCAGGACAGTCACATCCACATAAACAGCACCTGATATTCCTATTCCTACCCCAAGCTCCAAAATCCAAAACGACGGACCGAATGCGAGATCATGACTCCCTCCAAACCCCCACTCCACCACCACCCTCCTGCACACACTACCTATTAGACCCCCAGCCAGAGTTCGTTATGGCAGCAGGAAGGAAAGCAAAAAGGATCTTGACGAGAGTGGGATTTGAACCCACGCTGTTTCCAACTGGTGTTTTGGTAGGACCTAAAACCAGCGCCTTAACCACTCGGCCATCTCGCCTTAGATGTTGTGTTTGCCCTCTGTACTATACATATTCTTAACTGCGCAAAGCAAATGCAGACGTTTATTGGGGTTCGTTCTGTTATCAGATAGCGAGATCTGACCAGTATTCACAACCATCCCAAACTAAAGAACAAGGAAGGGTCAATCGTTCCATTACCACAATGTAGTTAAAATTATATACACGGAGTAGAGTTTATCAGCAGGCAGGTATGATATATACACAATCTAATCCACAACCTTCAACATGTCATAACTCTTATGGCCAATCGCCTTCTTTACAACCGCCAACGGATCAATCTTCTTCTTCACCACGACCTTCTCCTCTCCATGTTTATCCACCTCCACAAACTCCTCTTCCTCCCCCTCCTCCTCCTCAAACCCACCATTCTCCAAAAACACCTTCAACATTCCCTGCGAATACCCACTCACCATCGCCGTCCCCTCCGTCTCCTTCGTAACCGGCTTTGGAGCCCCCCCACCCCCACGTCCACCCGCAAGATTCCAGTAAACCATTTCCGGCATTTCATACCCCGCTTCTTCAAACAGCCGTTTAATCCTCTCATGGTTTGTTTCGAATCTTGAAATCTCACTGGTGGTGGTGTGAGAGTACTGGTTATACTGTGCTTGATCGAATTGCATATCCGAGAATACAAAGATCCGTTTTACCATGTCTTCTTGAGGAACTTTATTGTTGATAGCCATTGGGAGAATCAAGTTTTCAAATACCGAGTTGAAATTTGTGGTCATGCCCCAATCTGCCCTTTCCATTTTCTGGATCTTTTCGCCGAGAGGTAGGGTAGGATCCAAGGTGATTACTTGAGGGTTCTCACTGAAGGTGATGAAAGAATTGTTGAAAGGAGGTTTTGCAACGTTTGCAAGGAGGAGGCCAAGGCCAAGGGAGGAGTGAAGGGGAGATGTCCCGTCTGGGAAGACTGGGTGAAGCATGGAGCCAGAGACATCTACTACTGCTATCGCGTTTTCCAAAGTTCCAGAATCCTTGATGCGTTGTACGAGAGTGTTCCACTGTTCGTCCACAACTCGCGACTCTAGCTTGGCAATCCGCTGTTTGATGTAAGCATCAACATCGCGTTTGGAAATGTTATCTTTCGCGTCGAGGCCAGAGATAGTTTGTGAGACGTGGCAGTCTCTAGCCTGTTTAATGATGGAAGAAGGCAGTAGGACAGCTCCAGAGATGGATGACTTTCCGGACGCAACGTCATTCAAATACTCCTCGAATCTATCCAGATCCTTTGTTGCAAACAACGTTTTATAACGATCCATTGCGAGGGAAGGAACGCGGTTATAGTGGATTTCCTTAAACTTTTGCATCGCGATCTTGATTTCAACCACGTCAATAGCCTTTCGGAGAGCGGAAAGGTGTTGACGGTAATGCTGACGGGCATGTTTCAGGTACTCCTCTCGGGGGCGACCTTCCATCTTAACCATTTCGGGGGTGAGTAGAAGCTCTGCCATGGTAGATGCCATCAAAGTGACTCGATCGTGCATCTTTTCAAGACTCGGCGCCCACTTGGAGGCGAGGGAGATGGAGGAGAGGTTCTTGCCAGACTTGAGGATCTGTTCATCTGCTTTGATCTGCTCCACAAAGATCCGGGCGACACGAAGGTGGAGGGCACGGTAGAAGTGGTCGGTTGTAAACTTCTTGATAAAGTTCTCGTGGTGCTCTTTTTCCTTCTGGTGTTTCTGAGCCTTTGCGATTTTCTTCTGGGTATGACGGTCTGCGAGACGCTTTTCGTTCGCTTCCTGTCGACGCTTCTCTCTCTCCTCGAGCTCTGATGGGGAGAGCACCTCCTCCTCCTTCTTTTCTTTTGGCTTCTTACTATCTCTTCCCTTCCGTCTCCTCGGCGTTATATCCATATCCTCCCTCTTCTTTGGTTGAGTCTTTGGCGTCGTGAGCTCCTTCCTCGGGTCGACATCATGTCTTAACTTATCCCTCGCAGCCAAGTAGACAATATTAACCAGATCACAATACTACCTTCATATCAGCAATGTACCCCCATACCTCGATATAGAATCAACAACTCACATAACCATGCGAACCACCATTCTTGACATCAAACCTCGTAACATCATCCTCACTCTTAACATCCTCCATCTCCACTACCTCCCCCTCCTCCTCCTCCTCCTTCTTCTTCTCCACCTTCTTCTCCACCACCGGCCTCACAACCCACTCCAAATTCGCCAAAAGCGTGAGCGGATGGTGTTCCCTCAACCACCCCACACAGCGGTACCATAGGTACTTATCACTCTTGCCCACATGAATACTCCTCGCATTCCAAATAATCTTTAGTGTATCAGCAGGACTCTCTTTCCACGCCGCCGTCAGCAGCTCATCCAATCGCTCTGCGGAGATGACCTTCTCGAGCTCTGTGAAGAGGTCAAGAAGCGGGGAGTTGGTGGATTCGTGTGTGATGGCGCCTTTATCGGTGAAGGTGAGGTTGTAGGGGAGGGTTGGGGCGGAGCTAGTGAGTGCGGCCATGAACTTATTGCTGTCGACGGAGGAGGGGGAGGAGGAGGGTTTCTTGACGGGAACGGGGAGGGAGCTGATGTATTCATTGAAGGAAGGGGTGTCGAAGAAGAGCTCGGGGACGTGTGGGACAAAGACGGGGAATGTCGACATCAATGGGTGATGATGTTGCGTCTCAACTTGTGGTTTATCGATGTCCATTGCGGAGGCCATTGTGTTGTGTATGGTTAAGTTAGATGAATTGATGAAGTACCTGTGAAGAAGATGACTTGTGCAGGAATTTGGGAGTCGTGAGCGGGGGAGGGGAGGGCGGAGGTATTTATGAACCTCTCCAGGCCTGAAAGCCTGTTTTGACATTTCAGATGGTGGAGGGTATTTTCTTAGAGGGGTGGAAACTGCATTGTTCAAATGTTGAGTCTTCGCCGAGTTGATTGGGCAAGGGTCCAAGGTGATTGCGGGGCAGCTCCAGCTGCACCACACAGCTTTCCTCTGCGTCACAGTCTGTTGAGAATTGCTCAAGTGAGTCATGAAAAGCTCGAGGAGAAATTAACGACCACACGTTTCTTATAGTAGCAATGGCTCAAAGTGATTCAATTGCTCTAGATCTTCCAAGACAGGATCTACCGTCCTTCAGCCCACCACTCCAACGCCATCAGCCTCTCTTTCGCCTGCATGCTGATGCACAATGCTGCGTCCAGCCGGTTAACCCCTTCCTCTCTCATGAGCGCCAACGCTGCCAACCCCAGAAACGAATGCAAGATATCTTTTGTTCCCGCACAGATTTAGAATTAGCCTTCCATCTTCCATCTCGCGCAATTCTACTAACCTGGACTTCCGCCCGGCTGTGGCAGCTTCATGAATCCACCTATTATATGTCTCGTCTTCTCCAGCAAAAACCTCCGATTCGCATTGATATCGATCAAGTAGAGCTTCTTCAACATCTGCGCAACGTCTCGTCAACAATCTTTGCCCCCATCGACATCGGGGTAGACCTCACATCCAGACTCGCGCCGATCCAAAAGCTATAACACGTATCGGCCTTCTTATTGCATCGTCCATGGAATCCTCCCCAAATGGGCCGACCGTCCGTTCCAAGCTCCACTTTCGTCCCATCAGCCTTCTCCTCCTCGGTGCCATATTTCTGGATATACTGCCAATCGTCTTCATCCATCTCATCCTTCTTCTCGAACGGCACCTGTCGATGCACCAACCACCTCGTGAGGCCCTCAACACTCTGTAACCCCGACTCGTCTAGATGACCCAATAAACTCAACGTTGCGACGGCACAATACGTCATCCCCGCTGCTTCCTATCAGCCTTCTTCTTCTTCCCCTCCTCAAACAACACACACTTACCATGCGACTCCCCAAACATCTTTTCCGAGACCCCAAAATCGTAGCTCTGCGCACTCTTGATATACGCCACCGTCCTATCCACATCAAAATCCTTCACATCCTCACACCCCCTCCCTTCCCTTCCCCGTAACATCCACCGTAACGCCGCCGCCATATACACAAACCTCATATCCGTCGCCCCCACCACTTCCTCCCCCACCAAACTCTCCCCAAAACTCCCATCCCCCCTCTGCATCCTCGTCACCAACTCCAACAACTCCCTCCTCTTCACGCCCCCCAAATCATCCCCCAAATTCACCAACGTCGCAACCGCAAAAAAGCTAGCCGGCAGATTCGGGGGGTCCCATACAGCGTTCGTTTCATTCCTTTTCTCCCCAAAATCTGTAGCCGGACTCCCGCGGAAGCCTCCGGTGGGTAGTTGGTTTCTATAGATCCATTCGATCCAGCCTTTACGGTCTTCGGGAGATGTGAGGAACTGGAGTTCACCGAGGAGGTCGAGGGCAGCGACACAGAAGCAGCCGAGGGTCATGCGGTTTAGGTCTGTCGCGGTGTATTCTTCTGGAAGACATGATTTTAGACAACGGAGCCAGTAGCGGACGTGGCGGGGTTTGTCGAGAGAGGCGGAGGGGGGAGTAGTCATTTCGATTGATGGAGGGGGTGGTGGTGGTTGTGGTGATCGTGGTGATCCGAAGATGGAGATAATCGATTGGAACATAGGTACAAGGCGAGTCCAAGGGCGGGGATTACATTAAGCGACATGGGATCTCACGCAACGCCAATATAGTACTGTGTCATAGTGGTGGCTAATATAGTGGGAGCCGGATCGCCAAATTACTTCACAACGCACTATTCTGCGGGAGTTCACACGGCACCTTGCGACTACAAGGAGATATAATTCAAAAAGCAAAGGCAACGCGCAGATATCTTCTAATACCCCCAGGATACAATTGAACAAAGTCACTCACTGGCGGACCTTAGTGTAAGCAGTAACCAAATGACGACGGTACCGGACGTAGCAAAGGCCAGCTCCGCAGATGATGACGAGGATGAACAGAAGCTGTCCAATGGACAGATGTGACATGTCTTCAACTTTCTCGTAGACACCGTGCGGCGCTACAACCACAGGGTCCTCCGCCTTCTCAGAGGACCCTGTATCA